ACCTGTTTTCTCCTAAGAGTTTTATGCTTTTAGCTCCTACATTAAGGTTGTTGACACATTTGGGTTCATTTCTGTATATGGTGTGAGGTAGGAGTACAGCAACTTTTTAAATCATGGCAAACTTTTCCGAAGAGGCTCTACCATTTCACATTCAGTCAAGAGGGTTCCAATTTCTCCATGCAGTCACTAACATCTGGTACTATCTTCTTGATTACAGTCTTTCTAGTGGGTATGTAGTAATCTCTCATTAGAATTTGATTTCGTGTCAAACAACTGTTCCTGTGCTTATTTGTTTACTGGCCATTTATATATATCTTCTCAGGTCAAACTTTTTTTTGGCCATATTTTTAAATTCAATTGCTTGTCTTACTAAGTTGTAAGCGTTCTTCGTATATATATATATATTATATATATTTTTTACCTGAACATAGTTTCTCCCAATCTGTGGCTTGTCTTTTCATTTTCTTAATAGTATCTTCTGAAGCACAAAAGTTTTAATTTTGAGGTAGTCCAACTTTTTATTGATTTCTTTTTCTGGCCCATGCTCTTGGTGTACAACCAAAAACTCCGTCTAATCCAAAAGCCATGCAGATTTTCTCCTTTATGTTCTTTTAGAGGTTTCATAGGTTTGGCTTTTACCAACAGGCCTCTGATCCTATTGAGCTAATTTTTGCATATGGAGTGAGGTAAAGGTCTAAGCTCATTGTTTTTCCATGTGAATGTTGTCCCAGCACTACTGTATTGTCAAGTGGTCAACTGACTGTAAATGTAAGGATTTGTTTCTGAACTCCTGATTATGTCCCATCAATCAATATGCCAATCCTTGTGCCAATACCACAATGTCTTGACTACTGCAGCCTTACAGTAAGTTTTAAATGAGAGTATAACTCCTATAACTGTTCTTCTACAAAACTGTTTCGGCTATTTTAGGTCCTTTACATTTCCAAATGAGTTTTAAAATCAACCTGTGTGTTTTTACAAACAGGGATTTTGCTGGGATTTTGGTAGGGGTTGCACTGAATCTGCAGATTAACTTGAAGAGAATGACATCTTGACGATACAGAGTCTCTGACCCATGACGACGGGCTGTCTCTCCATTTCCTCTCAGTGCTGTCGTGCAGTTTGCAGTGGACGGGTCTTGCATGTACCCTTACTTTGCTGCATTTGTACTTTATTTTTTTTGCTGTTACTCTGAATGGAACTGTTTAAGTAATTCCATTCTTGGATTGTACATAAAAACAAAATTGGTTTGTGTATAACTGATTTGTGCTGAAATGGTTTTTTTCGTTCTCATTTTGTTTTTTGTCAAGCTATCTATGAAGAAAGACAGTCTTAATTCCTTTTTTGGGGGTAGAAGGGCAGAGGGAGAGGAGAGGGAGAGAGAATCTTAAGTAGGCTCTACACCCAGCTCGGAGCCTGACATGGGGCTTGAACTTATGACCCTGAGATCATGACCTGAGCGGAAACCAAGAGTCAGAGACGCTTAACCGACTGAGCCTCCCAGGTGCCCCCAGTTTTACTTCTTTCACTTTTCTTTTCCAACCTGGATGTTCTTCTCCTTCCTTTCCTCCCTCCCACCTTACTGTACTAGCTAGAAACCCTGGTCAAGTGCCTCTGACGTAGGAAGGCAGCATTCAACCTTTCATCACTGTGCGCTGGCTGCTATGAAGTACTGTGCAAGTCCTGCATCAGCGTGAGCGAGCTCCCCTCTGTTCCTCGTTCCCTGAGGGTCTCCTATCCTGAACGGGGAGGAGATGCTTGGATGCACTTGCTTTTTTCTTTCTCTTCTGCATCTACTGAGATGACCATATGGGTTTTGTTCTTTATACTGCCAATACTGCATATTACATTAATACATTTTCAGATGTCAAATCAACCTTGCATTCATGGTATAAATGCTACTTAGCTGCTGGATTCGGTCTGCTAGTATTTCAAGGATTTTTGCATCTATGTTCCTGAGGAATATTTTTTTTTTTTAAAGATTTTATTTATTTATTTGAGAGAGAGAGAATGAGAGATAGAGAGCACGAGAGGGAAGAAGGTCAGAGGGAGAAGCAGACTCCCCGCCGAGCAGGGAGCCCGATGTGGGACTCGATCCCGGGACTCCAGGATCATG